AGCATATTCATGCATATTCTGAACAGGGCAGGGAGAGGGCATGGTCGGGTTTCGTGTTGTTTTAGTCTTCCTCCGATAAGTGTTACTTAGGATCAGTGTTTGCTGTCATGCTTCCTTTGATAGCTGTCGCAGCTGTCCTGGGTGTCTTCCGTGTGAGCTGGTGCTTTGTCGTTGATGTGTTGTTTTTGTCTTTTGTTGCTGCTGCTGATTCTGCTGTCACAGTCCCTCTAGCTGCTCCTGCTCCTGCTGCTGCGATTTTAGCTGCTGCCATCGTTGTGGTTGCTGCTGCTGTCTGTCACATTTACGACGGACAGATGTCCCATCCTAGTGCAGAAGTGGACGGCAGGTCTTCATGCGGCATTTTTTCACAGTGTTCAGCAGAGGGGCAAGGGCCCCAGCAGCAGCGACTGTTGCCGGTTACTCGTCACTAAACCAAGCCCAGCTTTCTAAGTACAGATGTTTCAACCCCAACGGACTGTTCTCGAATCTTGTACGTCACAAACTCCATGAGAATCCATAGCCCGTGAACCCAAGGCCCTATAGCCGGCCGCCGGTTTGACCTGTGGTCTCTAGAAAAGTGGGTTCCAACGTGTGCCTTCGACAGGAAAGGGGTCGCCTTCCTAAGCACCATAAACTAAACCCTAAGCCATGAACTGCAAGGAACCGCCGCACCCCTGGAACTCTATACCACACATCCCCAAGCTGCAATCCTAATCTCCAAACCGAAACCTTAAAATCACAATCCCAAAACCGAAAACATAAATCACAAATCTCAAACCCTGAATCAGAAGTCCCAAGCCCCCAACCTTAAATCTCCACCCTGCAGTCACAAACTCTGCAGCACAGCACACACCTCAACCCCGCAAGCCCAAAACCCTCTTCAGCATTGCCCACCGGCCAGCGGGATCTGAGGGCCATCGAGGTTTCACTGTGTATGTATATATATATATATACATATACATATACATATACATATATCGCATATATATATATATTTATTTATAGATCTATGTATTTTAGGGGTGGGCGTAAACCGGAATAGGGTTTCGGCAAGTTGTAAAGGTGCGTTTTAAACAAAGTGTTCCACAGGTATTACCGGTTAGGATGTTAATATTGTTGAATGCGGGCTCTTTGTTCAGCCCACATGGTTAGTATGATGCGGTTTATTCTGCGGTAAGAGGTTTGTGGCAGCAGTCACTTCGACACGGAAGATCGCAGCAGTCACTTCGACACGGAAGATCGTGCAAGCTCTGACTTCTAGATTTCTTATCCTCTGCAACTGCTCCGAAGCACGTTTCCGACCCCCAAGCTTCGCGCAAACCCTCCGAGATCAGGTCAGACCCTGCAGCCCCAAAACTTCAAGTATAATCAGCCGAGCCGCAAGAAGGCACCAAGGTGTTCCTGAACGGTAAGGTCGAAAGAGCTGTTTGTCGAAGAGCTCGAAGCCCAAAGCCCTATAGAACCAAAGCGCTTGGAACCCTAAAAGCCCGAAGCCCTAAGCCCCATGCCTCAAAATTCCAACCCTGTCACGATAAAGCAGGTCTCAATAATTAGTAAATAAGTGTATCCTGCTCGTGTCGTCCCTGTACGAATATAACGTGTGCAAAATATACTTATTCCAAGCTGCTGAGGCCCATACCAAGCTATAAAAGCCTCTGAACTGAACCCTAAATCCTAAACTCTGAACTCCAAACCTTAAACCCAAAATCCCAAGGCCCAAAACCCTAAACCCTAGAAGGCCCTAGAACCCCAAATCATAAACCCCAAAACCCTAAAAACCTTACTCCCTAAATCCTGACCTCCTGGGTTGTTACCCCCCAAGTTTTGCCAAGGACGGAAGCCTCGAACAGGCGAAGGTCGGCTTCGCGCGTGCGAAAGCAGGCCCCGTGAGAACCCACATAAGGGTTCTCAAGGTTTCGGGTTTAGGATTAAGTAGGGTTTCGGGATTAGGGCTTAAGTAGGGATTAAGGTTTAGGATTATGGTTCAGGGATGATTCGGGTTTAGGTATTAGGGTTTAGGGTTTAGTTTAGGAGGGCTCAGGATGGATGCATTGGAGTTGAAGCACAAGGGCGTAGGGTACAAGAGCCCCAGCAAGAGCCCAGGAACTGGTCTCTCTGTCTCCATGATAACTTAAAGTTACATCCCGTAGCAAGAAGCCAGGATAAGGATTCATTTACAGGGATCAAAAAAATGGTTCCCTTTAAACGGAACTATAAGATTTCCTTTAAAAGGAGCCATAAGGTTTCCTTTCAAAGGAGCTCGTCTCTCTCTCTCTCTCTCCTCGCCTGTTTTGCCACGAGGCGCTGAGCCGAAGATAGAAGGCCACACGCGCAAGGCAGGGCGGACGGCTGCGGCTGCGGCTGTCTTTTGACATAGGGGCCACTTAATGATTAGAGTAGGGTTCCTTTAAAGGGGTTACTATAACGGATCTATATAAGGGTAGTATAATGAATGTAGGGGGCCCCTGAATAATTAGAGTAGGGTTCCTGTAAAGGGATCTTAAAAGGATCCTATAAGGGTTACTGTAAGGGATCTATAAGGGTCGTACGATAATGTAGGGGCCTTCAGAATTAGAATAGGGTTTTGGGGTTTGTTACATTATAACTATAGTACAAAGATTAAAGAGCTGTAGGCCACTTACCCACCCGACACCATTGCTATCCCAGAAAGCATCTGAGCTGACGCCCCAACCCAAATCCCAGATTAGACCCCAACGCCCGAGGCTCGCGACACGTGCACGCCCCGACCAAAGAAGACTCACAGACCCCTAACTTCGAACTTAAACTATCAAATATACAGTCTAGAGCCCGGAGCACCCTAAACCCCAATGCCCGCCGCCCTCAGCCTTTGCGAAGACCTCTCAGCAGATGGAAAAAGGAGCTTTCAAGAAATGCACCCAAAAAGTCCTAGGCCCAAAAACCCAGAAACGAACCCCAAAAAACAGTGATAACACTGTAACAAGCCGTCCGCCCTCTCCCGGAAGCGGCTGTTGAGAGGCCTCGTACCTGCAGCCACTCCAGGTCGGCTCCGGAGGGGTTTAGGGTTTCAGGATTTGGTGGGTTCGAAGCTTCAGCTCTGGGGGGTTTAGGGCCTTGGGGGTTTGGGGGCGAGGCATTGAGAGCTTTGGGGTTTTTACAGGTTCTGGTGCATGTAACGAAGGCTTATTTGGCGGTTTAGGCTTCCGAGCTTCCAGGGGTCCCCGGTTCTTTTGGGATTGTGTTCCCTCATGACACGCGACTGACGGTCTCACACTACCTGCCACAAAGGGCAGTTCAAGCGCTAGGCTGTCCATGATTGCAAATCAAAACTCCTACACACTCTGAACTCCGAGAATGGAATGTCCGATTGATGCGGCATGCATTGTTTTATGGTCGGAACTGTTGAAACTTTGAACTCCGGGGATAGAGCCCTGGACTGACGGGGCACCCAAGATGTAAAAACAGAAGTCTTAAAACAAAAGCCTTGAATTCCGCGAGTGGAACCTTGGACGGATGGGGTCCCCATTGCCTCAAATTCAGAACTCTTGAAAAGGTTTGAATCTTTCAAAGGCACGTAGTGCTTGTTTTGGGAACCTCGAAGTTCCGACAATGGAGCCTTGGCTTGATAGGCGTCCCAGATCTCAAGATCAGAATTTTGGCAAATATAAGCCTGGATCTCACGAAAGGATTGGACTGATGGCGGCGCTCTTGATCATTGAATCAGAATTTATACCAAGCTTGAACTCCGAGGATTGAAGGAAGGGCTTATCTACACCTTTCAATTTTGTCACTTGGCACCTACGCCGAAAAGCGCAGCTCCAGCTTTGATCCCTCGCCCTTAAGCTGCGCAGCGTTGAAAAACTTCAGGCCCCAAAGCTTGAGTGCTGAACTTTGAGGTCTCGGCTTGAAACCTTCAAAGTGCCCTGACACAGCAATTTGAGCAGGCCGGTTCGATGATGCGAAGGCAAACCGGAGCCATCCGGCAGAGGCCAAGTCATAGCATTCGGGATGTGGGTTTGAGGTTTACTGGGGCTTTGCGTCATGGCGTCATTTTCGGGTTTATGGTTTGGGTTTTTGGCCCATGTTGTAGCACTGTGGTTTTGTGTTTTAGGGGGCCTGCTTTTATTTTGCAGCTTGTGGGTGTCCGGTGGATGCTTGTCGGGCCCTGCTCCCTGGCAACAATGTAGCTTCGTACAGACAGCTTCCAGAATCGGGTGACTGCGTAGAAAATCTCAATCACGTTTCCGGGCCAAGACATGGAGGGACCTTAGAGGTTTGATCCCAGAATTTGGTTCGTGATCTTTGGGCCTTCTAGGTTCAGGTCATGTGTGATGCGTGTGTCGGGAAGGCACGTTTCTCGCTACATAGCAGGGTGCCTGGATCTTGCATCGGCTGCCCTGTCTGAGGCAGATTGCATGACTTGCGCCACCCGTAGTAGTTGCTACTATTTTGCCTCTCACACAGACGTGCTGCTTCGCGAAAAAGCGTGAAATTGCAGCTGACTCTACTCAGCGCGCCTCAAAATGAATTGCCTTCCCTGGTTTGGTTTTTGATGCACTTGGATGTTGGGATGGTGAGACTTGAAGGCAATTTCAGAAGAGTCCTTGCTTCGGGCTTCGGGGATCGGCCTCAACGGGTGCAGAGACAGCCTGAAGCAGCCTTTTCCGGGATTCGGGACACCGCGCCTGATTTAGTGGTCCGTGCAACAAGAACTCCGTGTTTTTTCTGGGGCGGAATGGTCAGTGCGTGATGGCTGTTCTTCGGGGGAGCCGAGGCCAGCGAACCCCGATTCCGCACCCCAAACCCGAAACCACACAGACGCAGCGAATCTCTGCGCCCAAGAACAAGATTCTTGGACTTCGGCATTCCAATCATTCTCACCAACGCAAAGCCGCCCTGAAGCTCAAGCCCCAATCCCAAATCCCTGCTCCCCTAAACCCCTTACTGCCCTAACTCTTCTGACATCGCAAACCCCCAGAAGCCCCAGAAGCCCAAGCCACGGAAACCTCGCACTTCCCAAGGTGGCCTGGGCCAGGCTTGGCAGCAGGCCGAGGGTTTTCTCTTTGGGTCTGCGTTTCTTAGGCTCCGTGGAGATCCTTAGGAAGCGAAGAATGCCAGGCTTTCAGGTAGCTACGTGGAAAGGAAGGGTACTGCAGCAAAGGCCACCGAATGTAATCATTATCAGTTGTGTAATCAGGGTGGTTGCGGTTCAGCAGGTTAGTCGTTTGCACTCCTCAGGTTGTTCCATAGCCGCTCGGTTTGGCTTTTCTGATGTTGTTTGGCGCTTCTAGGCAATGCCATAGTTTGATGCCTCATCGCTGGATGCCGTGTGGCACAAAAGCTCATCAAGCAAACCCTATACACCCCGAACCCCGAACGCTTAACCCGTTTCCGGTTTCTTGTTGGCAGCATTCAGCATGATCTCCTGAAGCCATTTGGAGCTGGGATCTCCTTAAAGAGGTCCCATGTTTAGTTTTGGGGTCTAAGGTTGGTGTATGTTCTTGGCTCATGGACTCCTCGCCTTTCGGCGTGGGTTTTGCTACTCAGTCGCTCTTGTTTGGGGGTTCCTTGACACAAGTTTTTGGGATTGTCCGGCAGCATCCGGGTGGGGTGGTAGACCAAGCCAGGTGCCTCCACTCGGAAGCTTTCCCCGCGAAACCTGCGCTCCAATTCCGAGAATCTCTGAGTTCCTCTCAGCCCCATGGCGGCCCTAACCCCGAAGATTGGAGAACCTCGAACTGAAGTGAAAAGAATTGAGCCCAACACTTTGAGAGACACCTCTTGGCGAATAACGAGACAGGCCGTGGCTCTCGTCGAGGACATGCGCGAACATCGATTGCACGATCCGGATGGCCAGAGCCCGAACGGTTTCAGCACGTGGGTGTTTCAGGCCTGACCCCAGGATCCGACATTCTTCTAGGGCTGGAAGGTTTCTTCAACTCTCGTAGAAGCTTCCGAGGCTGGAAGCGGAAACCTTTAAACAGAAGAACCGAACCCCAAGATCGGGTGGCTCTGCATGGGGGCAGTCTGGGTCATCCCCCTCAAATTCTATCCGTCAAGTTTGGTACTTCTTGTCACGCATTCTATGTCAAGGCTTAACCCCCAAATCCTATGAGCTCCAAACCTCCCAAGCGTCCATAGCCGCGGCTGCCGCCAAAGGCTCTGTCTGGAATGCCGTGGCCTGGGCGCACCAGGCCCTTCTTTAGGATTTTATCTAGGAACCTGGTTAAGGAACCCTGGCCTTGTAACCCCAAGATACCAGGTTTCATGTTCAGAATCCTAAATAAAGACCCAAGTTGTCTTAATCAGCTTCCTTTTTGAGGGTTCAGGGGTTGGCTCTCCTCCAACTTGGGACTGTAAGGGAAAAGGTTTAACATAAGGGCTTAGGCTTCGGTAGCAAGAGCAGGTTGTCTTGAGGTGAGAACAGGACTACGGTGTTGTTTTTTGTTGGGTCTTTCAGGGCACCGTAAAGAATACCAGTATTACTACTACTAAGAAGAAGAATTATAAGACCGATAATAACGACTATTATAATGATAATGGCAATTAACAATAAACATGAAAATGATAACATAACACCAAGAACACTAATAGTACTGACAATATCGATAGTATTCATACTAATGGTCAGCCGGGCCCCTTCTTTTAGGTCTTCGAGGGCCAAGGTTCGAAAGCCTACGAAATGAGTTGCTTCCCTGTCGAAGCGTTAAGGGGCCCTTCGCTCCCGAGTACATGATGTTGTATCATGTCAAACGGTTCCTACAAGGTGACATGATATTATGTGGTGTCTCACTTTGCTATATGATATCAAATCATGTCATATCAGATCATACGAAATTGTAACATCATATGGTACTCTAATATAACATTATGTTATCTGGTATCATCATTGTTACCGTTATTAGCGTTACACTACGCTTGTTGTACAAGTTATAAAGTACTATTACTGCAGCGTCAGCAAGGTGAAGGCTTCAGTGCGGGGCGCGGCAGTAGTAGAGCAGCCCTTACAATCCTTACAATATCCCCGAAACTAAGATACTCCAGAGCCACGTCAACCCCAGCCCTCTAATAGCCCAAAGCATTGGAACAAGATTGCAGGATTGGGCGATCATGTTCCGGAGCACTCCAGACTCTTCTCAAGAACCCTGACACTTCAATTGCAACATCCGAAGCAGCGCTTTCGCCCTTATCCGGCAGTCAGATTCGTCCGCAACACAAGAATCCTCAACTCTCAGGGTGCTCCCTTTTCGAAGGCCGCCGGCGTTCCCGTGCCCGCCGTGCCAGGGTGGGTGCAAGGGGACCTGAGGCGGGGCCTCGGCATGAGTTTCGGATTCCGGAAAGCAGTAAACCTGAAAACCACGAAACCCCCAAAACCTCCCAAAATCCGTAGACTGCAGGCGCTAGACTCACTACATCCTGTATCCCCGTCCGCCCGACCCAGATTCGGGGCTTCAATAGAAGCAGTCCCGTGAAAGCCGAATCAGTAGAATAGGGCTTGGGTGCACATGCAGCATAGCGTAATTATGTAGGGGCTCTTACGCTTTAAGGCAATATCATATCAATGACATTCGTATCTTTTTTACAAAGCGCTCAGATTCCCAGGAAGGAGCACACTCTCCTGGACTTCGTCCGGCGCCGCGCACAGGCCAAGCGGCTCGGTGGCTTCCGGCAGTTTTAGGTACCCTAAGCCTAAACCACCGACTGTTGAGCATAGGAGACTGGGTATCGGTATAGGGATTTGAGGATGAGGGACGGATGATCTTATGATTTGTTGTTTTCAGGCTTTCTGGAACCTGACTGCAACTTCCCGGAAGCCCGGAAGGAGTCAGAAATACCTGAATATCATATAGCCCTAAGCTCTGAATCTTCAACCCATTAAACTCACAATTCCTGTAACCCCACAGGCCCCAAACACATAGAAACCCGAAAGCCACACAAGCAAAAGCCGAAAGCCGAAGCACCTGTTCCCGGTTTAGCTTTTCAATATGCAAAAAAGCAATGTTCCCCCACAAACCCAAACACCCCATATGCATTAAAGCCCTCCCCCTCAAAAAAAAACATAAGCTCGGCAGGTAAACGATTTGTTCGCTGTGCTCAGAGCCATCGAGGACTTCGCCGAGTCGCGGAAGTGGCTCAAGGCCTCGTCGGAGCGGTGGATTTTCTGTCTTGGTGTTAAGGCTGTTAAGGTTTGTTGTAGTTAGTGTTATTCCAGGATTATCAGAGTAAGCATGTTAAGGTTGCGTGTAGTTACGGGCACTTCTAGTATCAGAAGTCTTTCTGTTGTTAGTATCTTATTGTGATTCGTCCTCCGTCGTAGTCTTAGTCGTATTCGTATTCGTACTCGTGCCCGTACTCGTAATCTTCTGCTTGCTCTGTTTCTTACACTTATGGTTCTCAGTCTTATGGTTGTGTGAATTATTACTCTGGTGACAGCTTTACTTCGCAAGGTCTCGTGACACTTTCGTGATCCTGCAGTATCCCTGTAGAACGCTTTACAGGAACTTTTAGGAACCTTGCATATGCAGCGTCATCGTCTTTATCCGTAGGAGGTTCATCGGGGTATCCGAGCCAATGACGAAAATTGTGCTGTGGCTATATCTTCCGCTTAGGAAGGTTGGATCACGGGCTATAAGCAGTTGTAACTATAAGTCCCTGACTTACAACCGTACTTGCCAGGTCCCCTGATCCTTGAAGTGTACTGTAGACCCTGGAGATTGAAGACAGCCGCCACACGGCTGCTAAGATTTGTCCTTGGTGCATATGGTGCAGGTGGCAGGCGGCCGCAAGGCGGCGCTCCTCAAGGTCGCAATGAGGGCTTAGAAGGGCAAGGCTCAGGGTTTCCAGGTCGAGTGGGGTTTCTGAAGCGAGGTGTTAACATGTTCAGAGGCTGTGCAACAACTTGGACCTGCATCAGTCTTGCACATTTCTTTGGGTGCAGAGCACCTTAAATTCATTCCACTTCTTCTGCAAAGCCGACCCAAGCCCTCGCAAGTGTAGAGCAGGTGGACGTGTGTTTCGTCTTGCATCGTTAGCTGAACATGCTGGCTGCTTCTGGTTCCGTATTGAAAGAAGAGACCCCAATTGTGAGAAATCCCGTGCTAACTGGAATCGGGTGGTGCCCTGATGAAGGGTTGCTTCAGCTCTGAACAACCCAAGGCCCCAGTCCTATCCTTTAGTGCCCAGCAACACCCTGTGCAATCACATTCGACCCTGCGTTCCATTTTTGGTTGCGATGTTTGCACCCATTAGCATTAGGAAGAGACGGGTAAAACCCTGTAGCTCTGCATCATGGTAAAACCCTTGGCCTCAACAAATCAGAGCACCACGAAGCATGCACCCTTCTTTGGCGTGTTGGACCGGGCCCCTCCAGTTTGGATCCCTGGAAGCACTTAGAGGCCCAGCGGACTTAGCAAGCAGGTTCTAAGTGGAGTTATAAGTACCCTAAATGGAGCTACCCCAATTACAACCCTACTTATAACCGACTTACTAAGTCCCCCAGTATAGTACCCTAATGGAAACCCCATAGAAACCCTTTTCGATCCCTTTAAAGGAACCCTAAAAGGGACCCCTTGTAACCCTACTTACTAAGTCCCCTTCTGGGCCTCTAAGCAGGGCAGCCTGCGACCTGGAGATCGCGTGGTCGAGTTTGGAACGCCCCTGCCTGAGCTGCGTTGCCCGGCCTCTCCAGAGGAGACCCAAGAGACTCCAATATCCCTTGTTTTTTTTAATTAAATTAAAATAGGACCTAATGAAGGGATATTGGAGTCTTCTCTGGGCAGACGAGACCCAAGAGGCCCAGCTAGGCCTTGAGGGTACTCTGGGAATCTTAAGGGTGAGAGGAATGGAAGCGAATGCTGAACAGGACAAAGATTGATGCTTGTCGTGGCAATCGGAAGGCAAGTGAGGACTAGGAACAAGAAAGAGGTGAGTCATCAAGGATATGTGCGTCGCAGTACAAGGTCGGTGCTGTCTCTCTACCGACATCGACAGTCAGAGTGGCAGCAGCTAGAAAGCAAGAACATAGCGATGCACAAGCTCCCTGTGACCTCATCCTAGACCAGCAGCCCTTTCATCCTTAATCCCCGAGCTCTGAAAGAGGTATATGGGATATTCGGCCATGCTGATGGCATCGCGGCTGCGCGAGCTAGGCGCCACGTCCCATGCTTGCTCTTCACCTGCATGTGATGCGGGGTACACTTGCGTTCCGCCGCTGGTGCTCGTGAAGTCATGGGTCGTCTCCAAGAAGACTTCGGCTTGAACGCAAAGCCACTGCAAGATTGAAGCTTTGGCTTCGAGAAGACGGCTCCAGAGTCCTTGGCACCGTTGTCTGACATTTCTCTAAAACTAAAGATTGCCCCAAACACTGCCAAGACGGACTGTAGTACGAGCAGAATCGGATGCTACTTCAATCGATGCGCTTAGTGTGTAAATCCTCGACCTCCTAGAAATCATGACGTTCAGGGATGCTGCTGATACTAGCTGTAGGCGTGATGATACTGTCGATGCAAGGTTCGGGGCGAGAGGGTCATTGATACTACCCATGATCCGAGTATAAATCCTGCCCCCCGCCTTCCCCCCCTCAAGGGTCCCACCCATCCCTCACGAGACTTCGGCCTTCGTCCCCCCCAAAAGGAGCCCCCTTTCTTTCGGAGGCGGCGGCGGCCGCGTGGTTTCCTGCGACGTCAATGCGCAGACCTGGCCCTTCGCCCGGGAGCTCCTGGCCTGGGCCGGCGTCGGAAGCGCGGGCCTCGCCTGCCTGGGCCTGGCTGGGGGGGGGGGGGTGCGGGGGAGGGAGGGTTTTAGGGTTCAGGGTCAGGTCTCCAGAAAAGAGTTTTGGATTGGACTGCTACTTGCCATGGCTGCGAGCTCGGGCCCTGGGTTTTGGAGAGGAGCCCTGCTGTCTCTTTCTGAATTCCGGATGCCGTGTGGTGCCTCGCACTTCGCTTCTGGTCTTCTTACTGCTGTTACGATGGCTACCACGACAACTGCTACTGTGGCCCGCGACACTTTTCTTACTGTCCAGAAGTGCTGCAGCTGTTGCGGGGGGGGGGGGGGGGGGGGGGCTGGGACGGCTGCTGCTGCTTTTGCTTTTACTCGAATGTGCGCACTCACGCGCGTCGTTGCACTGTGTCTTGTAGATTGGGCTACGCGCTAGTTGGTTGAATCTAGCTTCCGGTGCCTCTGTTGGCCTTCTGTGCTGATTCTTGTACCTGTCTCTGTCGCCTTGGACTTGAAAATGGCATGCGTGTGCGTGCTCTTTTTCTGCTTGCCCCAGGCTCCGAGGTTGAGTTGAAAATCGGCATCGCCGGCGATTGGCTTGCCAGTGGCCAGTCACGCTCTCAGGGCGCTGCAGTTTCCAGCCATTGCCCACAAAACCAACCCACTCAGGTTGCTGGAAGCTGAGCAGTTCTTCGCCATCCTTCCCACTAACCCGAAACCCTTTATCCCGCAGGCGTCCCCCGACCAGGAAGGAATGCAGAGTAGTTGGGCAGTCTCCTTCACGGTACTTGTGAGTCGCTCTTCGTAGTTGCACTGTGAGCAGCTCGTAGATCAATGAAACATGCCGAGGCTTGGAGAAATCGACGTGCTTCTACTGGACCACCGTGGCACGGTCTACCAGGTGTCGCTTGCTCTGCTGCGGGTGGGGTGGTAGACAGTGGACGGTGATGGTCGGTAGTGGAAGTTCCATCCAAGTCCTCCAGCCCTGACGCCCAAGCATCGCAATCGACAGCACTTGAACATTTGGGTGATGATCTCGGGAGGATGCCTCACTATGGTCAGAATTCAATCCCTCCCCCCTCCCTGACTCCTTCTCTCCCCCTTCACTCGGTTGCCTGCTTGTTTGCCTCCCTGTCTCCATGCATGCATGCGCAGATACACATACAGACGCAGCAAAGGATGTAAATCCACCCATGAATCCATCCATCCATCCATCCCTCCGTCCGTCCATCCATCCATCCACCTACAGGCAGACAGCAAAACAGAAGAATGCAAGCGAAATCATGAAAACCCTGGACCGAAAATGCACCACGGGGAGACTCGCAGATTGATGTGAGCAAGTCGATGATCAGATACAGCAGTATATAACGCAGAGCAACATGCCTGCGGACGTCACGCAATGCATCACGTATGTACATGTACGCAGAGTTGACAAGCTTCTGACCGGTGTCCTTGCTATCCGTCCAGTGCCTTCCCTCCTGCACTCCAACCCCAGTCTTGCTGAACGTTTCCGATTGCAGGAAGATCTCAAGGCAGCCGAGCCCCACTTGAGCCGCGGCTGACTTGGCAAAGTTTCGACTTCTGTGAGAAACGTCGATCAGGGAAGCGTCTCTGATAGGCTTGCTTATGCGTCTTTACATCCACAAGCCAGGCCCCATACCCTGCATATCTAAACCAGTGGTATATCCCTTTTCCAGGCCTCGTCCGTCTCACTTAGTCTTCATCATGATTGAACTTGTGATTCAGGGATTAAGTTTAGGGATTCTTTAGCGTACTGTATATCATATTTCTGAAGGGCGCCTTAGTCATACCCTAAATGCCTTCACTTTTTAGTGATCTGCATATCCCTTCGTCCTGAACTTGACTCATGCGTGGGGCACTTCCGAAGCCGAGGAGCCGGCAAGCCCGTGTCCTTGCAGACAACGCGGGGACCCCACGAGGAAGGATTTGGATCAGGTTGAAGTACGGGTCCCTGGGAGAAGTTAAGGGCGCCTGGTTCCTCAGTTGGGAGCTTCTGGTTAAAAACGTAGTATGACATGCATTTGTCGTGTTGCTTCTGGCGTTGGCTGCAACTTGGGTGCCTCTAGGCTTGAGCTGTTTTCTGCCTTTTTGTTGGGCAGGTTTGTAGGATCTAGTACCGTTAAGTCGAGACATCGATGCCCCAAACCCTTGAAAACCCCGATCCTCAAATCCTTGATGCTACATAACCGTCCCTGCAGTCGCGGCTCAATGTCCAGCCAAGCAGCTCTTGTGATTTGTTCACTGCTGTTTGTGACGGCCCAGCTTTCTGTCAGAAGTTTCGGCCCCAAGAATCCTGAAGCCTCTCTCCAAGATCGAACGAACACCATCTTGTGAGAGATGTTCTTCATCATGCAGGGCTGCATATTGTGGAAAAGGGCTCGAGTCTACTATCCAAAGGCCTAGACTTGCATCTCCGCTGGAAACAACCTGAGGTACTACTGCCTGGCGCCCCCCTGTTTCTGGGGTTCATCGCAGGGCGATACGACGTGGCAGTGCACGAGGCTTCTACGTTCTTGCTTGAGCTTGGGGTGTACAGGGTTTCTGGTCGGGGCTTAGCAATATGTCGACAAATACAGTGCGCCCTCAACCGTAAGCAAACATGAGGGCCTCACGAGAAGCAGAGAACAAGCAGTATGTTTCTGCGTTCACGATGCAGTAAGGCACACCTGAAAATGCCCAGTAGTTCCAGTCAGGTCCACGGCTGGTATTTCCGACAGCCGAAAAGAACTAGCCAGTCACGGTCTGCCTTTCGCGGTTTCCAGCGGGTCGTGCATGAAGACAGGCCCAGAGACATATTCCTTAAATCAGATTAGGGATCTTACCATAAATTAATGTATATTCCTTAATTCAGGGATATTGGAGTCTCTGGGCAGGTCAAGGCCTGTGGTACCCGGCTCGCACATCCTGAGACTGTCAGGATCCCTGAAGTCCTCCCATCCCCGCCCCCGCGCTTGGAAGGCGTCAGCCGCTTAAGAGATCCCAAAAGAGATGCCAGGCCCTAACATCGGATCCTTACTCTCATCCCCAAGTGGGAGTTTATTAGGGGTATCTTATCTTGGGGGTCCTTCTAGTAAGGATCCTACTACATATGCTACTCTATTAGAACCCCCCCATTCTCGGAAACTAATAAGTAGGGAGCCTCTAGTTGTAAGTTGACCCTAGGATCCTTACTCTCATAATCCTAAACCCAAAACCCCAAAACCCTGAACCCTAAATACCCCCAAACCCCAAACCCTAAAAACCCTTAAACCCTGAACCCTAAACCCTGAAACCCCTAAAAACCCTTAAACCCCAAACCCTAAACCCTTAAACCCCAAGCCCTGAACCCTAAACCCCAAACCCCAAACCCTAAAAACCCTTAAACCCCAAACCCTAAAGGCCCCTTAAAGTTCTGAGCTGACGGAAGGTGCCGGAGTTTCGGCTCCCGGAGCTGCAGGCGATTCCCGCTTTCGGAGCTGCTTCGGGGCTTCTTCGTAGCTGAGTGGAGACGCTTTATTAGACTTTTTGGGAGATAATACTACCCACTATAGAACTGAAAGTGTACACTTTTGGGGGGCTTAGCAGATGACAATGCGCGGTGCTCGTGGAATGGGGTGGCTTGAAGGGGCTTTGTGGATGTGCATAGGAGCTGCCAGGTATGTTGACTTGGTGGCTGCATGGATGAGGGGTGGCTTTTGACACGGAGGTCTCCGAGTCCTTCGCAAAGCAGTGTCCCATGGGTGGAGTGGTTTTTGCTCATGTGGGCTTGCAAAATACCCCTTGTGGCCAAGTTCCTAGACGTCGTGCGAAAAGACTTGGAAACCTCACGAGGGCCCCTAAAGAGCTTCTCCAGCTTGAGAAAAGCAGAACACGCGCCGCAGTGTTGCCACATGGCGAGGACTGGATCCTGACCTGTGTTCCGACAGCCACTGCTCTGGCGCCAGCAGCGGATGTCAGAGAGCTGAGGCTCTCGTGGGCTTTTGTCAAGGATTGAGCTGTGGGTTTGGAGGCGAGCTCTTTCCCGGGTTGGGGTGCAGGCAATGTTCAGCTTCGGGTGCAGAGGTTGCGGTCAATGGCTTTCGTCCTATCCAACTTTTCGGGAGCCACAGCTTTCGAATCGGCCAACGTGGCTTCGGTGCGTTCTTGGCTCACCCTTTCACGTGCAACCACCTGCTTCCTCCGCAGGCAATGGGGCGATAAGGTGGATGCGGCTTGGCAGCACAGGGGGTGCGACACAAGGGGAGCTAATACACACAGAACTCTTTGCGATGCTTTACTTCGGCTAGTCGCAACCGACATCATAGCGGATTTGCGAAATCTCTGGGACAATGAACCACCGTTTTACCAAACCCAGTTCCTCTCGCTTCTGAACTTCCAGAAAAGCCCCCGCCCTAAGACTCAACACCGAGCGCGATTCTGAACTCACGTTAGGAAGCTCAGTACTTGTATGGTTCTACGCAGCGAAATCCTCCGTAAACGTGCCTTCACGACTTCAGAAATTAGGTTTCGGGATATATAATCTTCTATCAAAATACAGGGGCTAAACGGGAGTACCACCTTACAGATTATTCAAACCCCTCTGGCAGAGCTGAGCCCTCCCTCGGCTCAGGAGATCTGCTGGGCCTCCCTGCAGGGCGACGTGGACTGGGAGAAGTTTCAGGACGGAAGGGCCTAGGCCAAGGCTTTCATAGCTTTGGCTCTCCATGCTGTTGACTGTGATTGTGACTACCACTACCACTGCTACTACGACTTCGACTACGACCGCCACCACCAGCGCCATACCATGGCCCACACGAGTGCGTCCTTGACCGCGACTACCGGTACCGCCGCGACCACCACCGCCACCGCCCCCAGCCCGGCCAGCACAGCCTGCCGTCTAGGGGTCGTGGTTGTTGTTCCTGCATCTGCTGTCGTGGTCGTTGTTGCTTTTCTTACCTTTGGTTAGTGTGGGGAATGGAAGGATGGTAGTAATAGTAGTTATAATTGTGCCCCATTCCTCCATTCCCTACTAACCAAAGGTAAGTTTTGCCCTTCCGCCAGGAGGATTTGGCCCCGGCCTTGCGCAGCTGGTCCATGCGGCATGGCCTCCCCGGGCCGCGATGGCGACACTTCAGCGAGGCCGACACATGGACTCTCCGCAGCCCTTGAAAGGAAGTAGCCGAGCAAGGCATACTTTTTTACATGGAGGAAGAAGGGCTATGGATTTTACCAGAACAGAACACCAAACAGCACCCAGAAGCCCAGCGAAAGCCGTGAAACGGACCTTCAGGCCCAGCGGTTTGCAGCGGGTCGACTTGCCTGAGACGACTGGGAGGCCCCGGACGCGCCTGGGCAGACCCGGAAGCCCCTTTCGCAGCTACCTGGAAGCCTCAAGAAGCCCGACTCGAGTTTCGCCTTCAAGCTGCTCGATGCCACGCTCGCCAAGAAGGGATCGACATCGACGGGAAGGCAGCTCCACTTAGACGGCGCTCGGATTACGTCTCGGCCGTGGCTGCAAGAAACAAGAAGGCCGGGACTTCTCTTGAGCGGTACTCGTATCAGGGTTTGGGGTTTAGCGCTTCGGTGTGTCAAAAATAGCATGAGGATTGTCAGTTCCAGTTTTCCAGCATAATAGGCACTGGGCAGAGGAGCCCACGAGGAGTATGACTGAGGCACGCTTGGCAGAGCAACCGTTGGCTACAGCGTCACCGGATGCCTTCGTGAATACTGCCATAGGATCTTCGCAGAGAGGCTAGCGGACGTTCAGAAGTCGCCAGACAATGCCAGCAGGACAATCCTTGGACGCGGAGGCACACGCGATGCCTGCCCCCACCGCTCATTGGGACCTCACAGAAGGAGCCAACCCCCACGAGTGTCCCCCGCCGCGGAGCCGCCATAGGGCCTTTCTGACGAGGAGCCTGTGAGCTCCACCGAAACGCCGAAACGCCGGAACATGAACAACCAGGATCTCAGGATCGCCCCAAGGGGCAATTTTGGGACGCTTTGGACAAGGCCCGCCAAGCCGTAATGCAAGCTCCGTAAACGTGGGGGGATCAGGGCCTATGTAGCTCCTGTCATGTCGTGGTGCCAGGAGGTTGCGATGCGCTTTTGCCAAATCTTGGACAATAGCGTCACCGCTGAGGCGCGGTTCACAGCTCACTTGTTCGGCCAGGGCAGGAGTTTGAGCAGCGAGCTTTTTCAATCATGTTGGTGTGGGCCAAGGCAAGGGGTGGGTTTCGGGTGTAGGAGCAACCCCCTTGTTTATGGATCATGCTTCTGATGATTGGGCAACCGGTAACCACCGTTCACAGATATGCTCTCCTTTTGGCTCTGGCTCTCCGCGCCTTCTGGGCTTGCATTTCGTTTCAGCACCCGGAAGTCGAAACCATGGCGTTGTCCGCTGAAGCTTCCCTTTTCGAGCTGGACACCCCGGTGCCCGTGCTCGCAATCGCAATCGAAGACGACCATCACGGACCTTCTCACCCCAGTAAGGTGAGGCAGAGGATTTTCTGGTTGCAGTTCTTCCGGTTGAATTCTAATCACCACATTGTTGGAATTGTCTATATATGGTGCAGCGCTGCTCGGCCCCCCCTCCCCCCCCCACCCCATGGTATCCCCCCTCCCCCCCTGTGGTTCCCTGTGGTGTGGGTTCCCCCGCCCCTCCCCCTGTGGTTGCGGCCGGCTGCGCCCACTTCCATGGCTATTGCTGGTTGGGCGTCCGGTTGCTAAGGCTTTGGAACGTCGGATGTGATACAGTTCCATTGAACTCCGACCTGCCTGAGCTCCAAAGCCAATGATAGTGATGAGTCTGATGGTGATGATGACGACGAAGATGGTGGTCTTGATCCCCATCCGCACTCTCCTCCGGTCCCTTGCTCAAGAGTCCCGAATGAAAATCATTCAATCATGTGCTCAAGCTTACTTTTAGCGAACCCAACCGAAACTTGGCTTGGAATGACAACGGTCGGGACAGTTTTCGCAAGAACATCACAAGCCAAGCACGGTTTTCAACTAGAGAAAGCAATGAACCTGCTTTGCCGAAGCCCAGAGCAACATAAGAGCAAAGGTACCACCAACAGCCACACTGGGATTAGCACATCAGTGGGGGGGAGTTACGCGGATGACGTGTGATTGTGATGGGACGAGAGGCCTGGCTTGGGGGGGGGGGGGGGGGGGGGGGGGGGGGGCCTGCGACGCGGCGACGCGGCACCATATATTTCGAAGGCTCTACCCGCATAATGCCCCAAGCATGATGCCTTTTCTCGAGTCTTCCATGGTGCTTGCTGGCTTTGAGGCGCTGATGTCATCCATCGCCTGGCGCCACACCAGTGCCCCTCGTCAGAAGTTAGTGGTGACTTATAACTATTAAAACGGCTGAAACGGCTGCCGGTTTAGCTTTCAATGCGAAGTGAAGTGACGCTTTGAGTGAACAGCTTCCAAGACAGCTGCTTCAGGGCCACGCCCCGTGCATGGCCCTATTTGGGAAATGACCGTTCGCAGGCGAATGACCCAGTATTCGCGTTCAATCGGTGTTACAACGTTAAGCCCAGGCAGCTCAATCTTAAACTGTGGTGAGGTAAGCACATGCTGCATATGGTTCTCAACATCTGCACATCGGGCGCTAAATTCTCGGGGTTATCTTCTCAGCCCGCGCAAGAGAGGTCCCACAAGTGAAGAGAAAATTAAAGAGGGGGTAGTCGCCCCTTTCGAACCCTTAAATCGTTGTTCATGGCCCGAGCTTGATGTGTTGGCATGCTCGGAAATTCATGGCAGGGTAAACGACCGAACATCAGTTTCCCAAACTACAACACTGTAGCGTTTGGGATGTAGGGTTTGGGGAAGGCCCTGCTCAGACTCAGAATCCACACTCAAGCGGCTAATTTGTTTGCAATGTTCGGATGAGATTTGCCACTCCTCCACCGTTAAACCCGCCCACCCTGAACTGTTGTCTTAGGATGACGCCTTGTCGTCGCGGAGATCGTGGCATTGGCGACTGGAGGAAGGGAGCTCTTCTGGAAGATCCTGGTGTTCAAGTCGACTCATGCTACATCTCTTGGCGGAGAAAAAGACCCGTGCACCGAATGCCTCCAGAGACCCATGCCAGCGATGCGCCGGATGCACACCTTACCAGGATTGCCTTTGGTGTTGAATGGCAGCGCGATGTCCCCCCTCCCTGTGAATAGCATCTGTGTGACCCACTCAATTTGACTCTAACAGGGGATCATCGCATGCAGGGGAATTGTGTACCCCTACCGAGAGCATCGCTGGCGTGATCCGGCTGACCCTGAAGCCTGAAGCCAGATCGGCCCGACCCTTCCAGTTTTGCTTCGCCCACGGCTCGTCACGACTTGATTCCGCCACCGTTGCGGCTCCGGGCACCGCCTCTCGCAGGTGAGGTGAGTTGCCAGCACCTCGTCTCAAAGCTGGTACGGGTTGAGGGCTTTGCGGAGTGAGGGATTCTTCTCCATGAATTCCTGAATGTCCGACTGCCACGGCTTGGGGGGATCGTGAGTTCACTCAGTTGATGTGTTGCAAGGAGACCGTTTGTCCGGAAGATGCGCAGCAAGAGGGGTACAACCAGAAGAGATGATTCGTGAGAGCAGCTCGTTTTGGGATATTCCTTGTGCATCTTGGGGAAGTTTTTGTTCACAACCCGGCGGCTTCAAAGACCTCAGCACTTGTAAGCTTAGCAGCAACTGGCTAACTTCACTGAAGACTCCTTGCAACTAACTTCTGCTTTCAAGTAAGGCTACCATTAGCAGTGGCATTGGCCTTGCCGGCCATCGGGCCGCCCCGTGCAAGCCAAATCGCAGATTGTCAATATTAGGGGCCCTTTTTGGGTCCTTAATATAATACGGCACCTACTATTTAGGGTACCCAAAACGGGACCAGAATTTTGACAACCACCCTTAAAATACCACTGAGTAACGCAGCGCAGCCCGAGGTCCGCCTGAGCGAGCAACCATGGGGGAATTTACCATCCGCACCCGTGGCCGGGCCGAAAGACTTATTAAGGGACGCCGGTAAACCCAGGGAGCATTGCTCCATCAAGCGATTCTGGGGCCACTGCAGGCCTGCATTTCTTTCAAAAGCTATTTGGAGCCTTCGACGAAGCTCCGGTGGAGCGCAGCAAGGAAAGGAACCCCTCGAAAGCAGTAGCAAAGAAGCACTCCCTAAGCGCTCTTTTGTAAACGTCCTGTTTTGAGTGCTCCTGAAGCCCCAGGAGACTTAGTAAGTCGGTTATAAGTAGGGCTATAATTGGGGTAAATCCATTCCATTTATGATACTTGTAACTCGATTTATAACCTACTTACTAAGTCCCCTGGGCCTCTAAGTAATATCCTCTTTTAACCTTTTTTGGAGAGTATAGTCCCTATATAATCCCTATATAACCAAAAGGCTTAACCTTTAGTTCCCCATGATATCCGACAAGTAGGGTAGTGGCATCCTCAAGAAGCCGGAGCCTCGACACCATGATCGGAAAGGGGCCTCCTTTCCTTCGATGCGAGGCAAGTTTCAGACGAACCCACTCCTGGGTCGGAAGCAGTTCGTCGTGGATGCTGCTCGGCCCAGCTAATGCTGCCATGATGATGATGATGGCGATGGTGATTGAGAAGACAAGATGGGTTTATTGATGAAGATGAAGATGGTGCCGATGATAATAGCGGCGACGACGCCGACTATGAGGACCACTGCGACCACAGCTGCTACTGCTGCTACTACTACTACTACGACGACGACTACTACTACCACTACCACTACCACTACCACTACCACTACCACTACTACCACTACCACTACACTACCACTGCTACTGCTACTACTACTACTACTACTACTACTACTACTACTACTACTACTACTACTACTACTACTACTACTACTACTTTCAGTTATGTCCAATGCAATAGCTCTAGCCGATCATGGTCGTCGTCATCGGCGTCGTTGTCCTTACGAGCACACTGATCACGACCCGTGGAACTCATAATCTGGAGCTCTCTTGCCGCTGTCGTCTTGTTCGGGTCTCGACACTCGGGACCTCTCAGGCTTTCTTCAGGCACGAGGCTTCTTGGGGTTGCAACGTGTTGAGTAGGGTTTCAGGATTCTGTCTGGGGTTTATGATGGCAAGTGGCAGGATGGCCGAAGAGTTCTGTAACTTATATCGAAGCCAAAAAGGGGGTGTCATCAGGCCATTTTGGGTAGGAGAGGTGCTCCCAAAGTGTACTGCTCCTTAGTTTTACCTGTGTTCGCGGTGTTCACGTACGTCTAACTACGTTCCCGGAGCCCTGCCACAGTCTTTAGGGCCACTTTAGGGATGACCAA